ACTCAGTATTATTAATTTATTTTTTAATTCATTTTTAATGCTTTCTTCTGTGACTGGTCTGATATAGGGACCGAAACAGTTATTTTTTACGAGTTAAATTTGGCCCAATATTTTTTATTCCGTCTTTTCCGGATAACAAACAAACCGCTTATCCAAATTAAACAAATTTGGTGTCATATGAAAGAGGACTGAAATAGCTTTTAAACAGAAAAATCGAACGAAGATTACCACCTCGATTTATATTTTTTTTATAATCTAATACTAAAGAAATTCATATAAATAAATACCTGACCCAAGGTTTGTTCTATGGCTATTAATTAACATTTTTTATAGAAATATTTTTCAATATGTGGCGTTTCTCGTTTAGACATTTCAGTTTTAAAGCTATTTAAGTCCTCTTTCATTTGATACCAAACTTGTTTAAATTGGATAAGCGATTTGTTTATTATCCGGAAAGTACTTTTATTTCGGAATAAAAATATTTGACCAAGTTTAACTCGTAAAAAAACTGTAAATTTCGGTTCCTTCAATATTCGCATTCGCAAGAGATCCGCGTTGAGTTTTGCAAATGCGAAAGCGAATGCGAATGTTAAAATTAATGCGGAAGCTCCGCGGTAGCGAATGCGAATGCGTATATTCGCAATAACCCTGATTTGAAGGTTTGACAAGCCGTTCGAGGAAAATGTTAACGAAAATCAAAATTTTTAGATTTTCTGGCCGCCATGTTGACGTTTGATCAAGCCGCTTACGTTGTGTATGATAAAATCGCCTCATTCGCAATGGAATGAGGACGCGAGAGAGAAAAATCGAAGAAAACCAAACCCTTTACATTGTGAACCAGAAGAAAACTAAAATTCTTTGCTTGAACGAGTCATATTTGCATGGTGTATGACAAAATGGGAAAACCAGGTTTGAAGAATGTTTGACAAGCCCAAGTGGCTGTGGTGTATTTCGCTCTTTATAAAACTTCGGAAAGCTTTATTCCAAAATTTGCAGGTCGATTTAACAGCTCTCTTCTGTAAGACATGGCTACATTTGTTATCTGCAAATATATCGAGAAAAAATTCCGCAAAATAAAAATCCTCAAGAAATACTCAAGCGTGCCCGAAATTTCTTACGTTTTGAGGAATTACTCACAAAGAAGCAACACTGATTTTAAGAATGATTTTCAAGAACTTAACCTAATTAAAGAATAAATTGTGTACAAGCATTCAATTAAGGATATCTTCCTTATTTGAGCTAAACTCGAAAAAAGCCATTACCTTGCATTTGGTTTTACGCAATAACGATTTAAGCTGTCGCACAGTGTTATTGTTGACGCAAAGTAAGTGCTGAAAGCTTCTAAAGACAACACATTTCACTTTCCAACAAAAGTAAATGTTATTTGTTTATTTGTATTCTTATTTATTGTAAATTTTAAGACGCTTCATTTATTGCAACTTTGACCCATAAAAAGATCAGAGATAATATTTGCAGTAAGATGGAAAATTTTTCATCTGGATCGGCTGTATAAATATCTACATATATACATATGCACATATGTATGTTAATCAAATTGAGCAAACATGACACATGTGTTCTGGCAAGGATTTTTTTATAAAATTTTTATTTTGTCTCGGCTCTTTAACCGACTTCAAAAAAAAAGGAGAAGGTTATCAATTCGTGGGAATATTATTTGTATGGCCTTATAACTTTAGACCACCTTGACCGATCCGGTCATTGGAAATTAACGATAATCTTAAATTTTTGTATAAGAATTGAAGTCAATTTCTTTTTTTGCTTAAAACTTACTTGTATTAAAATATTTCGGAACCACGTCCAAAGGAATGGAAGTGGGTACATTAAAACCATTATATTAATAAAAAAGTAACTTTTACCTTCAAAATTTAAATCGGAAGGAAAACACAAATTAAATAACATATGTATGTACTTTTATTATTTTGAACAAATTATACCAATTTTTTTAGCAGATAAATATCGGCAATGTTTTCCTTTTATTTTTCAGACATTGATAAAAATCAAACTTGCGACTTGAATTTTCCGGCTTTATCGAAAGGGGCGTATAACCCTCTCAAAAAATTAACATTTTTCATTCGCTTGTTCCTACGTGAGATTCTTGGAATTAAAATTTTTCGGTATTGTTCATGCTTGCGAAAATTTTGGGAATATTTCGTTTTTTCTATTTTCGAGATTAATTCCTACTTCGGGTGTAAGTCCTGAGAATCCCGAAGTGGTCCCGAAAATCTCGAAAGTCACGAGAAACTCAAAGTTGTCCCGAAAATCGGTAAATAACACCAAGCGTCCCGAACTGGTCTCTAGGATTATGAAGCAATTCCGAAATAGTCCCGGAATTCCCTTAATAGAGCTCGAGGATACGGAAATAATCTCGAAAATCCGGAAATAGTCCCGAGACATAGACCTCCTGAAGTAGTCCTGAAAATCCCTAAAAATTTCGTATGATCCAAAACAATATTACACGAAGTATCTCGCAAAGTGCCGGGAAAATCGAATAAGAACATTAAGGGCCAAATTCAAAGTCATGGTTACCACTGCAAAACTTTCTTTCCTAACAAGAGCTGGTTCAATAACCTACCAAAATGGCTTCGTTCCTACCATTTAAGAAAACGCCGTTTGACGGTAATAAATAATTTTTTTTGCTGGTTTTCAAACTTAAAATCAGATTTCCAAGTAAACAAAATGATCGGAATAATATCTGGTATATACATTATTTAAGTACATATTATACATAGCACACAAAAAAGTCGTCTGTGCTTTTAACCAGACCCACCTACCGACAAGTAATTCGACCCGCTGAACCCGAATCTGAGGTCTGTTCTACTTCTACTCCCTCAAAATTTCTAGTAAATTGCACACATTTATTATGAAGTATATATATGTACATAAATAAGTAAGGTAAAAATAAACCTCACGGTTAGGCTTGCCAAATATCCGGGTCTAGGAGCCGCAGGGTTGGGGGAAAAATCTGCGCGTTGTGTATTTGCCATTAATTTCTTCGAGCTACTGGAAATATGTATGACTCAGAATAAGTTTTCTTTTTAATTTTCGTGTATAAAAAAAAAATATATTCTGTAAGCACGTAAATATATTTGTTATGTAGTAAGCTTGTGAATTTTTCTTCTAGTGCCATTTGAAATATTTTAACAACCTTGTCATTGTTGAAACAATTATCGATTCGAAGAAAAATATTTGATTTATAAACCCGCCTTTACGTCCATCAATTCAATCAATTAATATCCCTTTAGATACCCAGTGGATACAAGTTTTTATAGCGTATACGGAGTTCAAAGAATGGCCGAAAGTAATGGGTGAAATCCTGCCTATGCCAGTAAGCAACGAGTTTTTTAAGGTATTTCGCAAACAGTTGGGGCCATCCAAGAAACAGAATGAGGGTAAAACTGATATTGTCCCTATTTTACATGCCTACTCACAGTGCTAACAAAGTGACACACTACTACAAACCAGAGATGTTTTCGGTTTTATGAGCAAAGAAACCTACCATCCTACCAACGATAAAAAAACCTACCAATTTTGGTAGGAAAAGCCCAAAACGGCAACCCTGTTCACAGTGCGTAGTTAACTCAGAATCGGCAGTTAACTACTGATTTTTGTACTCAAAATCAAAATCACTGTAAATTTGGCCCTAAATCTCGGAAAGTATAACACGAAGACTCCCGAACACTTTTAAGTCCAAAGATCTCTACGCAGCATACGATTGCAAATGACTCAATGACGCCGAGCCGTTAAAGAACTTTTGGTAAATAAACGTGCAAGAAATAGTTCCGGTATTAGCAAGTCAATATTCTTATTAAGTCTCATCAAAAAATTCCTTGTCGTTTAAAGGATAAAGGGAATGCCGCATTATACTAAAGCCAGCTTCTCGACATAAGCTACAATTCCATACGAACACAGATATATGTACATATGTACATGATAGTAGTACATGTTTTATAGTAGCAATTTGGCCTAACACTGGTATTTAGTATCGAGATAGATAGGCTGACTTCCAAAATGTATCAATACAATGTTTGGATACTGTTATACTGCGGTATTCAAACTGTTTTTATATGCAGAGTTGCGACACATTGCAACCATATAGATTGCATATTTTAAATATTCAAAATAGCAAGAACAATTTTTCTGAATTTTCCATTTTTAAAACATCAATGGTAACCAATAACAAACGAAGCATCAACTGTGTTTCTGATGCGCTGATTGCTCTAGCGATGCGTTTCGATAACTTTTCGGATGCGTTTTGGAAAAGTATACATTGTCAATATTGTGTAGCTCAGCGTTATGGAACATTATACGTTGTACGTATGCAAAGCAACTGACGTTTTGGAAGTCAGCCGTACTTTAAAAAGTTTAGTATTTGGGTACACACAGTGCAGCTTCTATTTCGAAGAAGACGAAACATTCACATCGTAAGTTTCATTTTTATCAATGCCTGAAAATTAAAAAGCGAACATTACCGATTGTTCTCTGTTCAAAAAATACCGGCGAATAATCGGTATTTTTTGCTCAAAACAATAAAAGTAAAAAATTAACTTAAATATTTTGTTTTTTAATTTAAAATGCATTACCGGTACGGTCTCTGAAATACACCCATCTAGCATAGATATAAATTTTGAATTGACAGCTTTAATCTTGAAGGGCACTTAATCAGCACCCTCACCTATTTTGTAAGCAGTTCGGAATAAAATTCTGCCTTAAAACATGCATAAGTACTCAGGCAATGCGAATTTTATGTTCAATATTTTTTTTATTATCAATAACAAGACAAGTTTAATGAAAGGTTGTAAAAAATTTTCCACACGCAATGGAATAAAAGCATTCTTATCAAAATTATTAATGTGTATGCATGTATGTACATATGTATTTTGTATGTAAATAATGCTATACAGTTCTTAAACCACATAAATTAAAAGGAATGTATATGCACATGTATGTAGGTATATTTTTATTGAATTGGCAGAAAACATTTGATTTGTTATGAGTGATATGAATGTCATGATTTTTCTCACTTCGGCATTTTATAGCTTCCATAGCTGATAGCTTACTTTAGCAATAAGTCGTTATTACTGTCAGTTCAGATTCTGGGGCGACCGCCTTTACCAAGAAGCTAGAAGTAAGCAATTCTACTCTGTAGAACCCAGGTTCGATACCATGTCAGCGCATGTGTACAAGCGTAATTCTCAGTGAAACTTAATCGTATTTCGTTTCATTTCTAGTTTGTTTCATACTGCAGAAATTCGTATTTATTTTAACCTTAGTAAGAAAGGTGTAAAATATCCACGATCTTTCTTAAAAAAGACAGTCTTTTTATAATAAGAAGAACTTTTTTGATATGCCTACATCTTTGGCTTCGGTAGGGGTAAAATTTGCGAAGCTGTAACGCATAGCCCTGCAGAAAATTTCGAAGGGCTGATTTGCCGTTATTTAAACTTGACGGCGCGATTGTTATTGTTAATTCTATACATTAATTTGTTAGTTTGTTTAAAACCATATTAAAAGCCAACTGCATAAAAACGTTCGGAAATGCGTCACCAAAAAAATTTTTCGTATCACTGCACCTAAAAATGCACAAAGGTTGCAGCGGAAAAGGAAGGAACTACGCGATGCGCCATTGCACAGCATAGGTTTCTGCCGGACACTTTAGTGGGAAAACGGAACGTCAAAGTATCCGAAAATGGATTCAGTAAACCGACAAAAATTCGCACTTCATCCACTTTTTGCTCTTTTTCGGATCGGTTTTCAGCTTTTCGGTGGTTGGCCACTGGCAACTACGCATGCATGCTTTCAAATGTTTAGCTTGAGCAAATAAAATACAATTATTGCTTTCAAATTACATCATCTTTTTCGAACGTTTTCCGCATACGAAAATTGATGATACTGTAGGAGTTTTTAAATTCGTTTTCGGATACGGAAAATTGAACTAAACTCACTATCGGCAAAATTTACGTTTCTTTGCTGGCTGGGTATGCATATGCCTAAATGTATGCAACCATTTAAAAAAGCAAGTAAACAAAGGGTGCTTCTAATGAAATTAAAAATTTTTTGCTGAAATTTTTTGCTTCGAAATTTTCTGCTGGGCTTCGCAAATTTTACCCCTAATTGTTTGATTAAAATTAGTTTTGAAATGCTTGAAATTAGCATCCCATTCATTTAGCAGTCTCCCACACAAACGTATTGCAACCGAAAAATATTTCCATAAACAGGTGATAGAGATGCACTTTCACTTTTAAATTGGTCATTGTCAGAGTTATATGACAAAATATGTGTGTATACACTGCAATCATTTAAATCTTTTTGCTTTATTTCCGGAAAATATTGGTAGATTTTTAGCCTTTGTTCGTAAAAATTTTAGAAAATAAAATACAGATAAAAAGTTGGTAGATCTACCAATAAAGTGGTAAAGTCCGTGCACTGCCATCGGCTGTTCTAACGATTTGAAAGTTGAATAAGCAAAAACAAAATTCCATCTGAATTTTCACCTTTTAAATATATCGTAACGAAGTAATATCGAGTTTTATAAGTATTTTTGTTAATTTGTTTGTGTATATGCGTATAATATATACATTAGCGCACACAAGGGTGGGTTTTGGGGTTCAAAGCCGTCCCCCCAAAGCTCATAACCTCAATTACAAACTGTATCTTAATGCTTGGAATCTAGCTCTCGAAAAAATCACAAGTAGTACTTTTTATTATTTCTGTTGCTTGAAAAGCAAACTTTCCTTAAGAAATAAATATAAGAGCATTTTTTTCTTAAGAGCTGCAAACTGATTTCAGAAATTTTGATAGAAGAAAATTTCCTTTCCCTTTCTTGTGCGTCATTTTACATGAGTTTTTCGTTTGTCTTGGGAGCTTTTAAAAGTTTAACTGCGAATGAACACATTGGCCTAAAAGTATGCAATGCATACTCACTTACTGTTGTTTTTTACCCTTTACAGCCTAAAAGAGTTTACCACAGATATGTACTTAACAAGGATTAGAAGATTTAGTTTGCCAGCTTCGAATTCGTTCTACAAAAATAAGCTACATAATAAAAATACAAGTTCAGTTAATTTTTTGAGTATTCGAAATATTCAAGAAATGGAGCAATTGTAAAAATCACCATCTCCATCGAAAACTAAAAACCAGAAATCGAGGAAAATGAACATAAAAGTGTAAAAATTTCATGGAATTAAATAATTTATTTATATTAAAATTCTTTAATAACATTTTTTATTACTTTTGAAAGTTGAGCGCAGCTTGTGTTTATAGAACTTTTTATTACACAAGTATGTAATTTTTAAGCAAAAAATACAACCGACTTCAATTCTCATATACAAATTTAGGAGTACCGTTAATTTATTCATGATCCAATCATCAGACCTAAACTAAATTACCAATTAGGTACCTTCTTTACGATAAAAAAAAAAATATTGAAACCGGTTCACGCGGTCCAAAGCTATACGGTGGCACACATAAAAGAAGAAAGAATACTCCGAAGAATTGATAACCTCCCCTTTTTTGAAGTCGGTTAAAAATGTTTGAGTTCTTTGTCAATTTATGTATGTAGTTTTAATTTTATGTAAATAAAATGCAATTTATGAAACTTAAAGTTTTTTTTATTACATACCTAGTGAACATAAAACTTGCATAAATGTATTTTAAAAAGCGTATTATCTAAAGCAGTATTTGCTGATAATATATATTCAGAAGTATAAAAATATATACCAAAAAAATATATTCCTGGGTGCGCCCCTGAATATATAGTTTTACCAGTTTTTACCCGAAAAGCTTTCCCGTACTTTTTGGTTTTTCTCTCTTTCTCTGAGAGCAATTTTGTGTTTTGATAGTTTAACAAGTTTTATCCAGAAAAGTTGAGGAACGAAACTATTGTGTGACTTCAGCGAATGGGTGGATGCTATCAAATCGACGAAGAGAGGGTTAGCGGTCCGCGAATGGCGCCACCTTCATTTTCTGCATCGTGATTTAACGCTGGTACAAAACATATTTGGATCGCTCACACTTGCCTGGTTATCAGGTTATCTGATTATGTGGTTATATTTTGTATTCAGTTTACAACAATAACATACACTACAGAATAATAATTTTTAACCAGATAAAGAATAACCTGGCAAGTGTGAACAACCCAAAAGATAATTTCTTGACATAACTTCCATGGAACTTATGTCACTGTTCCCTGGATGTTATGTTGAAACCCCGGCATGCAATGGCAAACCTCTGCGTGCATTTCTGACATGACTCCGCCAAATGTACATTAACCTTCCATCAAGAGCGGAATATTTGTTGGAAAGAAAACCACATCATTTTCTGCCAAATTATGTAAAATATTTTAGTTAATGCACTTTCTAAGAACGTGTGCGATATATAATCTTGAACTTTTCTTTTGTCTGCTTAACTAATTAATAAGAATTTTGTAACTGTATTCCTTTTTTATATTTCGTCTAAGTGTGTATGTATGTATATATGTATGTATGTATATAACACCTGTAAAGCACCGCTTAAACTTATTCTAAAAGTCAATAGAAACGGAAGCAAAGGTTGCAGTCATTGCCGACCACACTTTTAGTCACGAGATTTATTCACCTACAACATGTTAGCACATACATATATGGGTTCACATTAGGCGGGTACGGTTTTTTAACTCACGACGGTATATAGTAGTAAAACTACAGTCCTCTCTACGAACGAAAATCACACTTTATAAGTCTCTCATCATATAAATACAGCGTATGTGATGGATAGGTCATGTCGTACGGAATGATGCAAATGCTCCAGCCATGAAAGTGGCAGAGCAATAGGAAGACCACCACCATTCCGAAATCAGATGGAGAAGCACTTGGCTTCAATTGGAATTTCTGATTGGCACCAGTTGGTTTAGGTGGCCGCTGTTGTTCAGCGGTTAGAAGGGCGCACTACCATAGCGCAGGGCCTGGTTTCAAGCGTAGTTCAACCCAACATCAAAAAATAAAAAACAGAAAAGTGCTTTCTAATATTGATCGCCCCTCGGCAGGCAATGGCCAACTTCTGTATATTCGGACATGAAAAACAGCTTCTCATAAAACTGCAATCGTCGTTAGTAGTCGGCATAAAATTTTAGGCTCCTCCCATTTGTGTGACAACATCATGGCGCACGCCACAAATCGGAGGAGAACCTCGGTCAAACACTAACATTTGTATGTATGTATGTTTAAGCGCCAATCTAATATTATTATTACACTTAGCACATAAGAGAAAAGACTGGTGTGATATGTTGAGCCGAGCAAAATCGCTTAAGCGGTTAGAGTAGAACTCCGCAAAAGGCATTTTAGACGCTCCACACTTTTCAGGCTTTTAGAACTTTATTCAGCTATAAGTTGCATATGTCGGCGCGAGCGCTGAAAGCCATAACTTCTAAAGGGCTTGGAGTGGAGTTTTACTTTAGAGTAGGGCTCCAAATTGCGGCCTTGTGCAGTCATATCTAGCAAACAACTTCAACGAATTTTTTAAAATCGTTTAACCACAAGCAGTTTCCCTAACATATCGTCAGCTGGGAGGAAGACCGACCTATCTCGGCAGCCAGTACGAAAACGCCCTATCTCAGAAAAATTCTCAAACTTTTCAATATATTTTAAGTTGAGATAGGGCGTATTGAACCAAATTCTGAGATAGGGCGTTTTTGAATCAAATTCTAAAATAGGGCATTCTTCAACCAAATTCTGAAATAGGGCGTTCTTCAACCAAATTCTGAAATAGGGCGTTCTTGAAAAGTTTTCTGAGAAGGGCGTCTTCGAACTGGCTGCCGAGATAGGTCGATCTTCCACTCAGGTGTCGATATGTAGTATTCTTAGTGACCCTCCCTAATATGCATGCATATGAACATATCCATATACATACATATGTATGTATGCTTACAAAAACATTTAAGCACATGCAATAAATATACATACATACATATATACGCTCCCAAGTCGGGTTTATGCAATGATCGGGCGTTTAATGCCATAGAAGTGAAATCGGCGGCATTGCAGCGTGCATTATGCGCCGACTAGCTATTGAGCGTACAAATTATAATCACTTTGCACAATCGCACGCGACGGGCGCGACATGTAAGATAACGTGTGAGTGAATGCTTCAGACTTTTGCCTTTCTTCCAATAAGCAAGCTTCTGATTGTTTGCCTTAAGTACATGCTTTACTTCCATATCGACGGTGATACTCCAAAACGGTCTATGTCTATTAGTACCCTTGACACTTATGTAGATGGTATCTTACTTGCAAAGGAATGCATCTGCAAATCGTTCCACCCTAATAAACGAATGTCAAAACTGTCTATCTTTGGCTGATGAAGACTAACGTTTGCTAGAAGCGGTCAGATACAGATAACAGATCAGTCAAGCACCAGAGGTAATAAGAGACATGGAACGTTTTACAGTATCACCGACGATATGTACAAATTGTACATTTCACACAAATTCATTAATAGATCTGTAGAGATCGGACTTACCATTTTCAGCGGTGTAACCCCAGTGTGAGCTCATGTTTTCTGCGTTCTGAGGGTGTAGATTTTTTTTATTTAAATGCCCTGTTTATAATTCAGACACTTTCCCAAGCTGAGCAACAAAAAATTGCTTCGGCAATATCAAGAATGTTTAACCGCAATAAATAACAGTAATAATAGTGTAAATAATGACGGCGAAATAGTCGACTGATTTTTTTTTTGATGATCTGTTGTTTATTTGAGAGCAGCCGTAAGTCAATTGAATTGCTGTATGACAGTTAGTGAGCTTTAAAAACGCGTTTGACTCTTGCCAGTTGGCAGGTGTGTATGTACCGTGATCAATGGAAAGTATATGGAAGTAAAAAGCCGCGTACTGATGAGCGACGGAACATGAAGAATGTTAAGACGTCTCGCACGTTTGTCTGCCTAAAGAAGACTGTTGAGTGCGAGGTCTGGTTGCCTGCTGTTTGCTTGCGCCGAAACTGAAATGAATTAAACTAAGCTAGCTACCGAGCCAGTCAGCCAATCGGCTAGTCTTATAGTCAGATAGTCTGGCGTTTGTTTGAGCGTTGAAATAGTGCACAATTTCAGAATGAAACTACTAATGAACGAGTACTACTAAGCTTACACATATGTATGTATGTACTGATCTATATATTCAGGTATCTACATATGTACGTATTATGCATATAGGAATCTGTATGTCAGTACAATACAAATACGGACGGAAATGCGAATGAATAACAAAATGACAGACTGCTTTTTCCCCCAGAAAGTCTGAAATTAACTTGCGCAGCAGCAGCGACTTTTTCCAAAATGCATTCGCATTGGTCGCATGCAGTAAAGTTTACTGAGAAGTTTCGAAAACAACAGCTGAGAGCGTCATCAAGAACGTTGATGTTAAAGTTAACGCCAATGCGGCTGAGCGCAATCGTAATTATACCATTCACGCAATGCAATATTTACATACGCATACATACATACACACATTGCTCTCTATACACAGTGGTCGAAAAAATTATAGCCGCGCCATATATTGACAAGTTTAAACATATACTTTTTTTTGTTATTTAATTTAAGTTATTGTTTTATAAAAATATAGTTCATTCTTTAACAAAAAATGAGTAAATCCAAGGTTAAAACTGTGTATAATATTTAAAAAAATTCAACAAACTTTCGTAATAACTTCGATCTTTTTAATTAGATTTCTTAGAAATATTTTGAGCGTGCAGTTTTGTAACCCATTGGATTCTATTTTCTCGAATAAAATGCCAGTTTCAAATTGCTAATCGCGCGGTTGACCGAAATGGAAGCAAACAATAATTCGAATTTATTATAAGAATAATTCAAATTTAAAAGGGGATGTATAAAGAAAGCCAGCCTTTTTTCACTTCGCGTCAAATGAATTATACGTTTATACCTGTTTTCTAACCGATGTGAGAATTAAAAAACCGATTTGAAAACAAATTCGAGTCAACACACTTTTGAATTTCTGAGCGTATTGAAATTTGGTTTATGCTTACGTTTTGAATCACGGCGAAGTGGGTTAAAGCGCTTTATGTGTCGGTATAAACAAGGTATATCACAACATGATCGAT